ACAAAATTTTGAAATTTTGTAACTCAAAAAATATTTTATCAATTTTAATAATATTTCATATTTACATTTCTACTAATAATGGTAACATGTTAACCAAATTTCGAGAAAATTCATTTTTTGACCTGTGCAGTTGAGAAAATTTGACCTATAATTATTAATTTTTAAAATATTAAAATAATACAAAATTATATAAATATATATATATATTTAATTTATTAATTATTTATTTATCTATTTTTTTAAATTATTAAAAGTTTTTATTTAATTTACAGTTCAAGTTTATCTCCACGTGGTGAAAGTTGGGAAACATTAAAAATATTTTAATGGCTAAAGAAAGTGATTATCGAATTTCAACTGAAAATTCGTCCGTCATATTGGAGCGGCCATGTTTAATTTTAAAAATTTGATATTATATTCGTAATAAGCGACCCCAAAAACCCCCGAGTAACAAGTTTCAAGCGAATCTAATGATTTTTTAGAAAAATTGTCTGCCATATTGGATCCGCCATTTTGAATTTTAAAAATTGGACTTCTGATTCGTGATCAGCGACCCCTAAAACCCCCGAGTAACAAATTTCAAGCTAATCTTATGAGTTTTTGAAAAATTTGTCGGCCATATTGGATTTTCCATTTTGAATTTTGAAAATTGGATTTTAGATTCATAATCAGTGACCCCAAAAACCCCCGAGTAACAGGTTTCAAGTAAATTTAATGAGTTTTAAAAAAAATTGTCCGCCATATTGGATCCTCCGTATTGAATTTTTAAAATTGCACTTCAGATTCGTGAGCAGCGACCCCTAAAACCCCCGAGTAACAAATTTCAAGTTGATCTAAACACTTTTAACAATTTCGTACTTTCGAATCAAATTTTGAAAAAATTTGAACTTCTAACTCCATTTTTGAGCCGCCATTTTAACTTTTAATTTTCTCTATAGTCCTATCATCTAGGTTATATATCTATGTCACGTTATTTGTAACATTTGGAATTATTTTTCCGCTATTTCATAGTAGAAAAAATTGAAAATTAAACAAAAATTGGAAAAAAAATCGGACTTTTTTTATAAAAAACATTAATAAATTTTTTGTTTATAAATTTTTGACTTTTTTTAACGCCATTCGATAGAGCGCATATGAAAACATAAGAAATGATGATTCGTGAATTTTTCTATTGACTTTTAAGTACCGAAATAAGTTCTTAAACTTCATGTCAAAATTTTGTCCATTTGGGCGTTAAAGGGTTAAAAAAATACAATAAAAAAGAAATCAATTTTTTTGACTCTCGCAATGGGAACTTCCCCTTAATTGCTTTTTATAAAAGCTTACCAAATTTTAATTTGCTATCTTAGGTCAATAAAGTAAGTTATAAGCTTCCTGATATGCCTTTTCATGTTAGTCGCGAGCCTTTTTATTATCAAAAACCATACAAAATTGAGTAATTCAATGTATTTATCCAAAAACATGAACGGATAATTATAATGATATTTTGCGAACCGAATAAAAAACACTTGTAAATAACTTTAAGACATCATTTCAAAAAATTGAAATTAATATTTTTAAGGTTAAGTAAATAACAATTTAATATCTAATAATTACTATTCAAGTTAGTTTTAAGAGAAAGGAAAGGATCACCACAGCACAATTAACAACAACTAAATATATATATATATATAAAGATCTAAAAACTTTATTTATAACAAAATAATGAAGAATATATAAAATAAATTTGCAATAAAAAGAATCTTTCATATATTACCATAATAAAAATAAATAATTACAAGAAAACTCACCTCTTAAAACTATAAAAATGCACATTGCAAGTAATTCGTTTTTTCAAACTTTTTTAATTCACAATAACTTTTTATTCACAAGAAATTTTGAAAAAGAGAAATCCCACCTGACAGCACGGCGAACACTACCAAGAATTACACTCGCGTAATTACAATAAAAAAAATTTATCAATAAACAAAAACTTTTTTTTAACTAACTTTTTAACTAACTTTAAATTGACATTCATTTTTCTTACTTTAATTAACATTTAAAAACTTTAATTCGTAATTTCAATTCAAAAAAATATATATAAATATACTTGTTGTTTGACTCTCAACACAATGCACCAATAGCAAGCGTTGTCGCCGATACTGTTAGCCAATAGCGACCGTTATCATCTTAGCAAGAACCAATAATAAGCATTTTTATCGAATTTAAGCCAATGGCAAGCGTTATCATGTCATAAAATAGCAGATTTCTTATATAGGATTTCACACTACTTTTAGGTAAATCCCAATGAACCAATGGTGGACATTAAATAACATGTTCGATGTAGTAGGTATTGGAAAATAGCCTGAAATGGTTAAACGATTGGAAACAGGCTGTAAAATATAATTTAATTCAGGAAACAGAATTCCTTACTAATTATATGGCTCAAAGTCTTCGTATGACATTTCAGTCTACTTTAGATATAGTGGGATCCCGATATAGTAGATTATTATCGTATACAGTAAGAAAAGCTATCCGTCAGTCATAGGAAAGTATGGGAATCGCATAAGTCTGTCTCACTCCCACTCATGGGATATGACTGACGTGCTAGGTTTTCGTACTGTATGTGACCGCGTCTAAGAAAAGAGACCTTATAACCAAACTTAACTTTTCGAATAAAATGCGTTTAAAGTTTTACATTCAAATTATTGTTTTTAAGCGAAAATACTTATTATCATTTTAGTAATAAAAAAATTATAATTTTTTAATCCAGGACTAAAATCGTCTTTTTATAATGTACTAAAATCTTCCAAATCAGGAAATTGCTACCTCAATCATAGGATAGGAATTTTTTTTACTTTTATTTATATTTAATTTCAGTTTATTATGTTTTTTCTCTTAAACGTTTTAAACTCAGGCCAAAGTACCTACTATTAATTCATGTCACCGAGTTGTATGAACTATCAACATTAGTTTTTAAAAATAAAGATTCGGTTTTAAAAATTAACTTTATTGAACAATTATAATAACTATTATATAAATAAACATTGTATATCAAACAAATTTACATTTGACACTGTTTTGTCTGATCTTAAAAATTAATTTTTTCTCCAAAGTCACAAAATTAAGTTAATAATTTTTGTAGATATACCCTAAAAGTACATTTTTTATAACAAACAGTTAAACAAACAAACGAGAAAAGGTTGAAGCTACTGTAGCATACCTTTTTAAAATTTTTACATCTTAAATTTAATAACTAATTGTTTGACAATTAATTTTAATCTTGTTTGACATATTGGTTTAAAGTATGTATGTATAAAATAATTATTAAAAATAATGTAATAACAATAATAATTGATAAATTTTATTTTAATTAAAAAACACATTTATACAGTGTTTGGACACGCTAGTTCCAAAAAACTAAGTGCATAACCCTTCATACGTACAATTTATCCTTGTTTTTCTTAACTAAACCTAAGATAACCAATTCCAATTGTGTTGAGTACATATTTTGTTAACTGTATTTAAAAGTATACTAGTATACAAATTTTTAACCTTCTAGGTCAAGAATTGTGTATAAATTAGGTAAAGATTTTTATAATTATGTGGTTCTTGTTAACAACAATAGTTTAGTCAATTTATATATAAGTTTTTGATAAAAATCTTGATTTACGATTTTCGAAGATGATACAATTAAAATAGGACAAGGAAAAGAGATGACCATGAGATGACGCTATTTGGCAGTTCAGGGTTGCCACAAATATTTAATTTTATTATTCCCTGACTTTTCCCTCATTTCCAGAAAAAATTTTCACTTTTTCCCTAACCCTAAAGAATATTCTGATTCACTCTATAAATTATTAGATACTCAAAAAAATGTTCTATTACATTTATTTACAAATTTCTTAAATTGTAAAAATATTCAAAAACATCAATAACTTCTTTTTTAAATAAATATTTAATCATTATTATTTTTCCGCAGGAATTAAAATTCTTCAAAACATTCAAATTCAAACCTTTCTGAAATTCAACAACTTATAAGAATATTATTACAAAATATGAAAATTTTCAAAAAATGTTCATTATTTACAAAAATCCTAATAAAATCCTTCGCAAAAATTCAGTTATTTTTAATAGTAGTAAAATTTCTCAAAAAAATGCAATTATTTAAAAAAATGTAATAAAATTCGTTGCAAGAATTCAATTATATTCATAAATAATAAATCGCTTATTTGGTGAAGAATCTTATTATTTACATAAATAATTGAATTTTTGCAATGAATTTTATTCAAGTTTACAAAAATAATTGAATTTCGGTGAAAAATTTTATTATTTATGAAAATAATTGAATTCTGGAAAAGAACTTTGTTAATTTTTTTTAAATAATTGAATTCTTGCGACGAATTTTATAAAAATCTTTTTAAATAAGTGATATTTTTCGAAAAATTTGGTGAAATTTTGTATATGAAATAATTGAATTCCTGTAAAATTTTGCCATGAATTTTATTAAAATTTTTAAAAATAATTGAATTTCGAAGAAGAATTTTATTATTTATAAAGATAATTGAAATTTTTTAAAAAATTTTGAACATCATTGAAATTCTGCGAAGAATTTTTATAACTTTTGAAAATAATTGAATATCTGGAATCATTTGTAACTTTTCCAAAATTCAATTTTTTTTTAGTATTTTTAACTAAAATTCTCCTATCAATCTAGTGTTTATGAAAATTGTAAAAATTATTCATAAAATAATTTATAAGTCATAATTTTATGATAGTTCTTGAAAAATTAAGTTATTTAAAAAGAAATTATTGTCAGAAATAGAAAAAATTGAAGGTTTTGTATTAAAATTCGTGGTAATTTCATAGTTTACGAGGCAAACAAAAAAACACCAAAAAATTAAGTTTTCTCATGAATTTTAAAAATTCCATTTTTCCAGTACTTTTACTAAAAATCCTTGACTTTTCCCTGATTTCCCTGACCAATTTTTACTTTTCCTGAATTCTCTGACTTCCCTGACCTGTGGCAACCCTGCAGTTATTAACATAAAAGTCGAATGATTTACTTACACGCTTTTTCTCTTCACAACTTGTAAAAAATCCTTGATGAATATTCTATTTATAGACATAAAAAGTAAACAAGTATTTAACCCGTTGATTCGTTTGATGGAAGTGAATTGAATTCTGATTAAATATTAAGGTTATTATCATATATTACATGAAAATTGTGTGCAGTTTTTAATGTACCAGAACCTAATCAATGACTTCAACGTGATTTGCGGGAAATAGACCATATGTTCCGTCTGGACCTAGTCCTTGCCACCATCCTTCGTCAATAGCGTCAATATGTGTAATAATATCACCAGGATCGAAAGTAATTTCAGTATCGTCTGCAGCCTGATAATCATATAAAGCCCTAGCTTTCATTCCTTCATTATTAGGATCCAGATACAAATAATCTCCCTCTAATTGACTATATAATTGATTTTCTGCTTCTTCAACTGCACTAGACGATTCTGCATTTTGAACCTTGGAAACATTATTCTCTTCTTTTAAGAAACTTTCTGTGCTTTGTGTGTTTACAGTTTCTGGTTGACTTTGTACTATATTTTCACATTCATTTGTCTTTAATTCTTCATGTTTAAATGGTTGTTGATTTGCATTATTTGAAAGTTCTTTAAATGATTCTTCTTTAGGCTCACTGTCTTTAGTAGTCTTTTTTGATATGTTTACACTATTATCTTTTTGTTCGACTGGTTGATAAACACTAGATGATTTCAATTGACCAGCACAAGTATTCTGTTCAAATATGGCCCGTGCATTTATAGTTCTTTGAGCAATTAATTTCTGAGCTTCATTATTTCGCTGCTGACGTAATTCCTCACTACGGGATTTCGGTTCAACTTGAGGAACACAGTTCTGAGTGTTTCGAATATTTTTCAAGTCTTCAGGATGCAGTTCAACACTCTTATGATTAATGCTCTTTTCCATGGTAATCTGAAACAATGCAACTTTATTGTATTATAGGATGTAGTTTAAATTGAATGTTAGACCAAAGTAGGTCCTAACTTGGCAATATCCGGTAATATATATTACAAGAATGGACTTGACTAGATCCATTTCATTAGTTATTATAAACCATCAAAAAATATGTGTAATCAAACAAGTAACTCAAAAACTTTTACAAAATTTGTCCTCCATATTGCATCTGCCATTTTGAATTTTCAAAACCTGATATCGGATTCGTAATCAGTGACCCCAAGAACCAAAGCCTACACAAATTTTGAGTTACTTGTTTGATTAGACATATTTTTTTAGGACAGGAAAAAATCCTAACGTGATGCAGCAAATCGGACTTCAGATTCGTATCCAGCGCATCAATATAGGGCAGAAAATCATATTCCGGTTTGCCTGTGAACAAATTAAATTTTTTTGTGGTCCTGTGTTATTTTTTAAAAATTGTTAATTCTTAAATTTTCTCTAACGATGCGATGCCTCGTTAGTGAGAATTATGGCTAGGATAGAATTGAATCTCAAAACATTTTCGGATTTAGGTAAGATGTCAATTTATTACCTAATTAATTAAAGTATAAATAAGGTAGGACATACGTTTAATGGAATTTTAATTTTTGAGTTGTACTGCCCAAAAAATTTCTATGAACTTTTCAAGCATATTACAACTTGTTTAAGTAAACGTAAGCAATTGGAAATTTGACCAAAAAAATTTAAATTACCTTTTTATAGAGTAAAAAGTAAAAACGTGGATTTTTTTATCCACCCTACTGTATAAGTGTACTCTTAAGTGTACCAATCTTAAAAGTTGTCAAATCGGGCTTTTGAAAAATTGTTGCTGCGGTAACTGGCAATACTATTTAATGCAATAATTGTGACTATTAATTATTTTGTGAACAGTAGTAGCTTGTAACTGACTTAATGTGTTTGCAAACGTAGGAAAGATTTGATTGCCGAGGTAAGTTGTTCCTGATTTAACTTCTGAACGTATTTTCGTTTTTACAGTTGTTTTAAATTGTGTGTGCACTTTCGAGCAATAAACAATAACTTCTTTAACTTTAAATACGTTTCCAATGGTTTTTACTGCCTTGTTCCTAATAGACCCATTTTGTAATTTCGAAAAAATGCGTCTTTTTCGTGTTTTTTGCTTAAAATTCCAGCTTTGATCAAAGCAATCCTTTAACCCTTCAATGTGATTGCTAAGATAAAAAAAATTTAAGTCAATATTTCAATGCACAAAAAAGTTACAAGTCTTTAAAGTTGAAATCTGTTCCTGATAGCCCCAGTTTACGATAATTATTATCTCATGAATCAGAGTTAAGATATTAATGAAAATATTTTAAATTTGATTTTTGAGGGCAGAAAATTGCTATTCTAAACTTTTGGACTCACCATTTTTCAAAAATAAGAAAATAATAAAATAAAAACCTTTTTTCTGATAAATAAAAATAATCGGTACCTGATAATAAAATAAGAACCTATGAATTGTATTGAAAAATATCGCTGACAACCAAAAAAACATGGTCAAGAGGAAATTGATTACAAAAGTTAAGTAATTATAAGAGTTTACAAACAGATTTTATTGATAGTTTACAGAATACAATGTTCAGAAGAGATTTTATTTTGAACTGCGATACAGATTAAGAAATTACAATTAATAAAATTTTTGAAAGATTTAGGATAAATTCTTTTTATATAAAAGATTGATGCTAAAATTGGAAAATTTCAGTATTTTTTTCAGATGTAAATTAAATCTGCAATCAATATTTAATACTACATATACTGTTAAGTACTTCCTTATTATTTATTTTTTCTCTGTTTATTTATTAAACTACAGTGCGTAATACAAAACTCGAGAAAAAAGACGACAACAAGAAAGAGAAGAGAAAAAAATATTATTACATCAGAAAAGTTTTGAGTTTCCCCATTCTTAATTTTATCATTATCGTCCAACGACAAACGTTCCGGTTTCTCCTTCAATTTGCTTTGAATTCCACTTTCTTGTAATCGAAGAAACAGACGATTGAATTCTTCCAGAAAAGGTAATCCATTTTTAAAATGCCAATATAATCATGCAGAAAGTTAAATTCTTCCTCTCTAGAAACGGATTATACTGGATGATTCTTAAAAATCTTTCATCTATTCTTTTAATGGAATATTTGCTTGCAGATGATTGATAATGATTGATGATAATATTGCAATCCAATATTTTTTGTGTACAGAGATTATTAACAATTTCGTCGACAATCTTCCAAAAATTGATGATTTTTTAAGCAAGTTGATTTCGAATTTTGTATGCAACTAAAGTTTACCACCTGAGTTGGAAAAATCATGGATGAAAACCGAAACCGATAACCGAAAAAACAAAAATTTTTAATTAAAAAACTGCAATGGTGAAAAGAGGGTATTTGAAAATTATTTCACTTTTACTATCATTTAATGTAAGAAAGAACAATTAATAAAATTACTGAAGTATTTAGATAATAATTCTTGTAGTAAAAAATAGTGATAAAAAACGTGACAATTTTATTTCTTTTTCCATTGAAATTGAATCTGTAATCGCTTTTTAATACTGCACAATTTACTGTGAACTACTTCCTTATTTATTTGAAAGGAACTAGGGCTTGAAATACAAAGCTCGGTAAGAAAGAAGACGACAAGTATCAAACCATCAACAACGAGAAAAACAAGAAAGAAAAATCTGATTGCATCAGAAATTTTTTGAGTTTCCCCTTCATCTACTTGATGATCCACCAATAGACGTTTCGGTTTCTCCTTCAATTTACTTTGAATTCCACTTTCTTGTAATAAAAGCAACAGTCGATTGAATTCTGGCAGAAAAGGTGATCCTTTCTCAAAATACAAATAGAGCCATGTAAAACGAAGAAGTTCTGGTACGGTTTTCATAATTGGCTGACCTGATTTGGGTACATATTCTTGAAAAGCATACTCGATCGTTTGTGCATTCAGAATACAACAAACATTTCTATAATTTGTCAACTCATCAAGACAATCCACATGTTTATTGAACGGAATACTTTCAGATTTGTTTAATATTGCATTAAGTGTGAACTCATCGATAGTGTTATATATTATAGCAATTTTCAATGATGCAGAAATTTTTGGTTTCAATTCTGATTTAAGCAAATCATCAAGAGTATTAATTTCGATTTCAATTTTACTATTCATGCCTTGATCGGTAAATACCTCATAGACATTCATTGATAAAATCATCGACGTAAATAAGATGACAGCAAAAATTATTCTATCAGCATTTTGTTTTGGCTCGTGAACAACGACAAATCCAAAAAGTATTTGGAGCAATGCAAGAGGCCTCCAAACAGATTTCTCCAATTTTAGTATTCCAGCCAAGAAGAGAAGCGAAATAATCATAATTGCACAAATTCCCATTGTTGTCAACATTCGTCCAGTGATAATAGTGTGTGGAATTCGTTGATATCGAATGGGCACAACAGCTTGTAACGTGGTGTAATCAATTCCTCGACTAAATTCTGACCAAGTACGATAAACACTTTCTGTTCCAAAAATTGTATTCGCCAAAAGATTTAATGTATTGTTCTCCAGCATTCTTGTTAATCCGTCAGATTGATTGCCATATTTATTGAAAGTTCCGTAGTATGTATAATTGTGTTGAACAATTTTTATAGAAAAATTCATTGCTTTTGCCATGAAATTTAACAGATTTGCATCAGTGCCCGTCAGTTGGATGATGTGTCCAGTATTATTGCGCTTTACATTCGCCGTAGGATACTTAGTTACCAAACCTGCTTTAAATTGCCATAGATGCAAATTCTTAAGTTTGTTTGGAAAGAATTCGATTTTTGTCGGCAGTTTTCGATTGTAAAAATTGTTCCTCTTCATAAATGGATTGTACTGAATGATCTTTAAAATTTTTTCATTCATTCGTTCGGTAAAATAGTTACCTGAAGTTAATTTTTGTTCAAATTCGAGAATCGTGGCATCCAATACTCGTTGAGTCCAGAGATTGCGTAACAATTTCTTGTACGAATACTTGTTTTCCTCCATTGGTAGAATAAGCAGACATTTCGGTAGCGTTCGACCTTTCGATAAACGAATCAAAACATCAATTGCAACGATTGTCTTGTTTACCGTTTCTGATGAATTTGTCGATGGAACGATGATAAACAAATTCGTTCGTCGATAATCCTCCAGAAATTGGTGATTTTCCAAGCAATTTGATTCCGCATTTTGTACGCAACTAAAATTTACCATCTGAGTTGGAAAAATTGTTGGAATTTTAAAAACCAAATTGGTTCTCAAATTTTGCTTATCACTGTCGGTTATTAAAAACACCTGGTATTTTCTTGAATCCACTTGAATATAATTGATCAAACTTTGGAACCATTCGGCGTGAGTTGCTATTATTCCCACATTAAGAACAATCCGAATGCATAAAAGTATTTTGTAGAGCCGCATTTTTTCTCACTATTAGTTTTTTTAATGGTTACTTTTTAATTTTTATAAATGAAATTAAAACATCAAAAAAATTCAATATCCATTAATTAATATATATTATTTATTTTAAATTAATAATTATATTAGTAAATTAATTTACTATTAAAATTAAAAATATCAGGTATGAAAATTTTTAGTTACAATAAAAAGTTTGTTTCTTAGCAATTTTTTTATAACTTTCTTAAAAGCAGTTATTTTATAAGAATTCAAGTCACTTTTCAAGAATTTTTCAGAATTCAGTTCAGACACAGTTGGTTACGAACTGAATTGAAACATATTTTTTGAAATACAAAGTTCTTTTAAAAATCAATATTACTTTATATTACAATCAGCTGATCAGAGATTATTGTCCATTAAGAATAAGTTAAAGTAAAAACATTTAGTTCAGTTGAAAAATTTATAAAGTGAGAAATTGATGCGGAAAGATTGATAACTTCTTTTAGATTTAATTATAAAAAATTCATTTTGAAATTTCTTTAATATTTGAA